CTCCCTCTGACATTCGTTGAATCTATTCTGTTCATCAGCTTATTAAGTTCTTCATATTCCACGTATAAGCGAGATCATGTGATGTTTGTCTTCCTCTGCCTGGCTTATCTCACTCAGCATAATGTTCTCCAGGTCCCTCCATGCTGTCCCAAAGGGCACGAGATCCTCCTTTACAGCTGCGTAGTGTCCATGGTGTGAATGTCCCACAGCTTTTCATCCACTCATCTGCTGATGGGCACTTGGCTGTTTCCAGATCTTAGCTACTGTAAACTGTGCTGCTATGAACATATATTCTTTCTGATTACTGTTTCAGGATTTTAGGATACATTCCTAGGAGTGGAATCACTGGGTCAAAAGGCAGCTCCATTTTTAATTTTTTGAGGACCCCCCCACACTGTTTTCCATAGTGGCTGCCCCAGTCTGCATTCCCACCAGCAGTGCCCCAGGGTCCCCTTTCCCCACACCCTCGCCAGCACGTGGCGTTTGTTGATTTGTTGATGGAGCCATTCTGACAGGTGTGAGGTGAGACCTCAGTGTGGTTTTAATTTGCATGTCTCTGAAAAGTATGGAACGCTTCAGGAATTTGGGTGTCATCCTTGGGCAGGGGTCATGCTAATCATCTCTGTATTGTTCCAATTTTAGTATATGTGCTGCAGAATCGAGCGCCTAGTCCCTTATTAAGTTCCATTGTAGACACATGTGCATATAAACAGCTGTGAAAAGGATGACAGCCTCAGGCTAAGGGCAGCTACAGGTGGCCTCCATCACCCTTTATGATGTCAGAATTGCCTGAAACTTAGTAAGCCACTGGCAAATAAAATGATGAAAATGATGGACACAAGGATGCCCAAGACCAGGGCCCAGATGTTCAGGCACTTGGCGGTGGACGCATAGCTCTGGGCCCCGATCACGTCTCCCACCATCTTCCGGTCCCTAGACTGAGGGAGAAGAGATGGTGAGTGGGGCCTGGAGCAGGTCCTGGGGAGAGCCAGGTGCTATGACTCAGGTCCCCCCCTGCCTGGTCCCTGCCCAGACCAGCCTCCACCTGCCCTTCAGCCAGATCAGGGACCCTCCCCTCTGTGTGTCCCTGGAGCCTGAGCAGTACAGGGCCAGGGTGACCCCCCCCCAGACTCTCAGCTTCTCCAGGGGTCTCCGGACTCCTCTCCCCCTGCCCTGGCCCATTTGCTGGCCTCTCACCCACCAAGGGTCAGAGTTTTCTGAGTACTTTTGTTCTTTCTGACAGAGCCTCAGAGCCTCAGAGCCTCATGGTGAGTCTGAGGGATGCAATTTCTGGTATGGTCAGTAGGGAACTGCTTGGGGTCCTGGGGACAAAGGCTGACCCTGCCATCCCCATGCATCCCATGCAGCCTCATTGTGACCTGCACACACAGTTGCACGCATACACACACAGTTGCACGCACACACACACACACACACACACACACACACACAAGAGCTCCCCAGTCCCCAGGGCCATCTGGGCAGCAGACCCCTGTGGGCTCACACACACTTTCTGGAGAAGCCCCCAGGCACACACCCACCTTCACGGAGAAGGCGAAGGCCACAAAGCCCAGGCAGCAGGTGTTGAAGAAGAGCGTGTTGAACAGGGACCAGACGATGTGGTCGGTCACAACGGTCTCTGTCTGGATGTTGACCACGGTGGACATCATGGGCCCTGAGTTCTGGGGACCCCCCAGGATGGACACCTCATGTTCCTGATTGATCATCTCTGGCTTTGGGGAGCAGCTGTGGTCCCAGGTGAAGCAGGTGAAAGCTTCCTGAAGCAGAGACCTGAGCAGTGTGGGTGCAGATGCTGGGACAGTGCTCAGGCCCCTCCCTCCCCCAGGTAGTTCTGATTTCTCAGAAATGTCTGTTTCCTGTTGTTTCCAAAACTGGTGATCTGGGCGGGTCCTAAGAGGGTGGAAGAAATCTACGTGTCAAGTGACATAAGAAATTGGGGGGAAATTCTGCAGTCCAATTGTGAATTTTCTGTCCCTGTCACTTGTGTCAGCACTTGTCTCATCAAGGAGGACTGGGGTGAGTCCTGGGGACTTTTCCCGGCTTGGAGCCACCTGGTCCATTCCGCATCTCAGGCCTGAGGCTGTGTAGGTCTCACGGTCTCCATGCAGGGCTCCTACTAGGTGGCCCAGAAGTCTGGGTCTCTGGTGCTGGGGCCCCTTCCACCTTTCCAGATTCTGATCATGTGAGCATCTCCCCTGGGTCCCCCACAGGGCGCCAGTTGCTTCCTGCACGTGTTGCCTGCAGCCTATTGCTATGTGAAATTGTCCTGTTGAATAGCTGGTGTGGCTCTGTGTTCCCCTGGACCCCACTGACCCACTGATGGAGGCCAGGTGCACTGGGCAGTCAGAGGGCATGGAGGTTGAGCCCCTGCCCCTGGTGCCTGGTCTGGGGAGAAGTCAGAGGGGTTGGGATGCACTTGCTAAAAGGCCCC